GACAATGTTAGAATAGCAATAAGCAGGTGAGATGTAATAGAAATTGTTTAGGATTTGAAATGTCCACACTGAAAAAAAAAAAAGATCATTTTTAGAAAAAGAACTAGGTAAAATAAAAAGGAAGAGATTTTTACAGTATCAATTTCTTAAAAAGGCCTGCCTTTTCTGTAGGAGATAAAGGGGAAACTAATGGAAAAGATGAATAATATGGTAGTCTCTTTGGCTGCTTTCTTTTGAGTAGATAGAAGATAAGCTGGGGTTTGAAAGTTGTTATTATTGTAATTATGAGAGAAGACTGTTGACGGGCAGCAGGATGGGGAGTTCTTTCGAGGGAAAATAGTAGAAAAGTATAGAAGCTCTGTGTTAGTGAGGGTGAACTAGCTTGGCTCTGATACTGGCCAAGGCTGGGAGCAGCATACTGAAAGACAGCAAACCTAACAAGCCTATCAACTTTTTATCATGTATGCTTCTGAGATTCGAAATTATTTTCTACTGACTCCTAATGAAACATAACAAAAGCAATTGGCATATGAAATAATCTTGCCTTCTGGCATCATAAAGTTAACTAAGAAATTCAGTTTAGTCAACTATGGCTAATGTTTCGAATTTAAACATCCCACTGTTATAGAAACAGATTTTGGAAGCTGAACTTTTTATATTAATAGCAAGTGTCATGCTGAAATGCATTCAAGTACTCAAGCAAAGGAAAACGGAAGGGGGGTGGCTGTTGTAGGCCCACCATATTGACTTGCATTTAATAAACCTCTTGCCATCATTTTAACTTTAAAGTGTCTCTTTGTAAATATAAACGGATAACATTCATGTTAAAAGACCTCAACATAACTAGCAAAAGGGGAAATAAACAAGGAGGTGCCATTTTTCACTGCTGGGATTGGCAAATATTAAAGAAAAGGATAATCTGTAGCACTGTTCAGGGCATTGTGGGAAATGGACACTTACACCCTGTTGGTAGGAGTGTAGCTTGTCATTATCTCTGTAGAGGGAGATTTTTGTAGTACTTAGCAAAATTTAAAAATTGAGCCTGCTTTTTTGACCCAGCAGTTTCTTCTCTAGGAACCTGCCGTGAAAGATTGGAAACTCCATAAATGTCTATTTTTTGAGAGAATGAATAAAGAAATTATCATACATACACATGGTGGGATATTATACAATAATTTAAAATAATTAAGGCAGGAAATTCTAGTGGTTAAGACTCTGGCTTTCACTTCCATGGATTCAGGTTTGATCCCTGCTTGGGTAACTAGGATCCTACAAGCCATGTGGTGTGTCCAATAAATAAATGAATAAAAATAAGCAATATCTTGGAAAAGATTTCTGTGACATTAGGTGGAAAGGCAAATTGCAAAACAATATATATGATCCTATTTATGTAAAAAATATAAATATAGGAATTTTCATTAATTTTCTGATAAAAAACTTGGCAGAAGCAAAATAAACTTTTCCTTGTAGTAGTTTACTTTGCTCATCTGTAACTTATGCTGCCTCTATCATCTGAGCCATTAGTAAAAAGAGAGAAAGAAGTTTGTCCATCTGTTCTCTGATACTAGACAGTTAGAGGCACTGGTGTGCACTACCTTTACGTTGATTGTCCTTTCCACGTTAGAACTCTACTCTACTTTGCAATAAAATGTTGAGAATGTCACCACGATGGTGAGGATTTAGCATTTGGTGAATCACAACCAATAAGGTCCTGTTATAAAGCCCCATGTCTTAAGAATTTGTGTGTGAATGGAGATGACATAAAGTACTTCTTCCCTCTCCCCTTTCTCCCCAGGGTCACATGGATGAGGACGTGCAGGCCGCCTTACTGCAGATCATACAGATGCGGCAGGGGCTCGTGTGCTAGCAGGCACCCACCACCCACGGTGGCTCTTCCGCTAGTGCTGAGCATTCTGTGTGCGACTTCATGGCCTTTCTGGGCCTTGCTGTGCTAGTATAATTAAAATAAAGTGTATTTTGATCCATCAGTAGGTTTTTAATTTAGACAGCTATGTTACTGAGTTCTTCAGTATCAGTTCAAATCTTATATTCTGTGTATGTTAATTTTACAATTAGGCAAACAACATTAACACTTTGCCTTGGATTGTTTTAACTGATTGAGTACCCAGTAAAACCTGAGCCAACTGAGTGGGTCCATTTGAAGAGGGGTTAGGCGGAAATAATTAAACATTTCTTCCAGAGAAATTAATTGGGTTGGGAGCCACTTTTAAGTGGCTCAAAAGATCTTTCAGGTCTTCAGTCAAGCCGTGAGACCTCATGAAGTTTCAAGGAACACATGATAACTTGGCCAAGTTCCATTTTTATTCAAGTAACTTAATGAGTGCCTTTGACTTCTTTGGGAAGTACACGTTTTTTTTCTTTTTACACTAGTAACATTTATGCCTTTTAAACTATATTTCATTTCACAGATGGTTTGCAGTGTTAAATTACATTTAGGTTAAGAACAGGCAAGGGTGGAATATATCAGGAATTCATAATAAAATTGCCTCATAATCTCCATAATGGTATCTTAGTTTTTACTTGTGGTGACTTTTCTTGCCAGAGTATGTAGGAAACTATGATTAATGGTATACTAGATTTTTCAAAGTGTCAAAAGTTTTAGACATTTTTTTTTTTTAGTAATTACTCTGACATTTGCTACTATAGTAACCAAGCACTCATTATAGATGCATCCTCCAAATGTTTTGTACTTATTTATAGGAAAATTGCACTAATGAGATTAATAATGTAAAAGGCAGTTTTCTTGCAAAATTAGCATTAGAGAATGGATTTTAGAGGACAGATCTTTAAGGATTTAGACAAAAGTGCAGGAACATAGTAAACTGTAAGAATATAGATAGCAAGAAAATAATGCAATTGGACATGTTTATAGTAAATATTATAACCAACCATTTTTATTATTTCTGTCTCCTTAAGGAAAGTTTGTTTTGTTATTTTGTTAATATTTTATTCACAATTCAGATTGAAAATTACTATTTTGACTATTAGCAAATAAACTACACAAATGAATCATTTCAACCAAGTTTTTTTTTAATTGCAAAATGTGCCTTATCAATAATCTTTGAGCATCCTGAACCAGGTTTTTGTTCTCATTTTTGTGAATTACAAGGACAAAAGACCATCAGAATAACTTATCTCACCAAAGAATAAACTATCATATTTCTTCAATATAGAAGCAACAATGAAAAGTTAGAAATGGATTTATTTTTAATTCTTTAGTTAAGTATACACAGTTTACATAAGCAATATTTAGATTCTTTAAATTTTATATTTAATGTTGTCCTTCAGCATGAGTTCTATTTCATGAGTTTTAAGTCACCTATTGAAGCTCTAGAGTAGAGAAGTTCTTAACTGAATAATTTTCAGTGTTATACTTTCCTTATTAGGGATGGTAAGGGAACCCCTGTATGGGTTTATTTATGTTTTATTTTGTCTTCAGCCATCAAAAAAAATTTTTCTGTGGAATATTGTTTTGAACATCCTTGCAAGAGATTTACAAGGTGATCAAGTCCATTTGCTATTTTTGGAGAATTCTGGGTAGAGAATGATGGGGTGCAAAATACAGCTCAGTTTAGTTCATTCACTCAGTCGTGTTTGACTCTTTGCAACCCCATAAACTGCAGCATGCCAGGCCCCCCCTGTCCATCACCAGCTCCTGGAGTTCACCCAAACCCATGTTCATCGAATGACACCTATTTTCAGTTAGCTATGTAGAATGCAATACCAAGTAACCTCCTTGAATTAATCTCATTTTCTCATTTACTCACCTTTGGATGTCAAATGCAGAGCTCATACAAGCCTTAACAAATGAAACATATACAATGTGTGATGCTGGTCACTTTGCTGTTCTGTATTCAGAAAGACTGTGAAGTCTGAACTTAGGCCAAGAGGAAGATCAGTTGTCTAAGATACGAGTGCTCTCTGAAAGAATCACTGAATCCCTTCATTGAAAGCTTTATTACTGTTTGTTGCTTTTTTTTTTTAAAATCACTTCTACTTCATCAGAAAAGCCCATTCCTTTTAACAAAGGGTTAGTATTATAAAGAACCTTTAAAATAAAATATTAACGCAATGAACATCTTAAAATTTAATAATGCAGTGACTCTAAGCACTAGCTCAGTTTCAGTTCAGTTGCTCAGTCATGTCCGACTCTTTGTGACCTGACCCCATGAACTACAGCACACCAGGCTTCCCTGTCCATCACCAACTCCTGGAACCTACTCAAACTCATGTCCATCGGATCGGCCTTCTCTTCCTGCCTTCAGTCTATCTCAGTATCAGGGTCTTTTCCAGTGAGTCAACTCTTCGCATGAGGTGGCCAAAGTACTGGAGTTTCAGCTTCAGCATCAGTTCTTCCAGTGAACACCCAGGACTGATCTCCTTTAGGATGGACTGGTTGGATCTCCTTACAAGGGACTCTCTATAGAGTCTTCTCCAGCACCACAGTTCAAAAGCATCAATGCTTTGGTGCTTAGCTTTCTCTATAGTCCAACTCTCACATCCACACATGACTACTGGAAAAACCATAACTTTGATTAAACAGACCTTTGTTGGTAATGTCTCTGTTTTTTAATATGCTGTTTAGGTTGGTCATAGCTTTTCTTCCAAGGAGCAAGCATCTTCTAATTTCATAGCTGCAGTGACCATTCACAGTGATTTTGGAGCCCCCCAAAATAAAGTCTGTCACTGTTTCCATTGTTGCCCCATCTATTTGCCATGAAGTGATGGGACCAGATGCCATAATCTTAGTTTTCTGAATGTTGTTTTAAGCCAACTTTTTCATTCTTCTCTTTCAGTTTCATCAAGAGGCTCTTTAGTTCTTCTTTGCTTTCTACCATAAGGGTGGTGTCATCTGCATATCTGAGGTTATTGATATTTCTCCCAGCAATCTTGATTCCAGCTTGTGCTTCATCCAGCCTGGCATTTCACATGATGCACTCTGCATATAAGTTAAATAAGCAGGATGACAATATACAGCCATGATGTACTCCTTCCCCAGTTTGGAACCAGTCTGTTGTTCCATGTCCAGTTATAACTGTTGCATCTTGACCTGCATACAGATTTCTCAGGAGGCAGGTCAGGTGGTCTGGTATTCCCATCTCTTGAAGAATTTTCCACAGTTTGTGATCCACACAGTCAAAGGCTTTGGTGTAATCAATAAAGCAAAAGTAGATGTTTTTATGGAACTGTCTTGCTTATTCGATGATCCAGCAGATGTTGGCAATTTGATCTCTGGTTCCTCTGCCTTTTTAAAATCCAGCTTGAACATCTGGAAGTTCACAATTCATGTATTGTTGAAGCCTGGCTTGAAGAATTTTGAACATCACTTTGCTAACGTGTGAGATGTGTGCAGTTGTGCAGTAGTTTGCACATTCTTTGGCATTGCCTTTCTTTGGGATTGGAGTGAAAATTGTGGCCTTTTCTAGTCCTGTGGCCACTGCTGAGTTTTCCAGATTTGCTGGCATATTGAATGCAGCACTTTTACAGCATCAAACACTAGCTACACCTGTGCTGTTCTAAAATTTCAGATGTGTGTGTCTGTGTGCTCAGTCGTGTCCGACTCTTTGTGGCCCCATGAATTGCAGTCCCCCAGGCTCCTCTGTCCGTGGGATTTTTCAAGGCAAGATTACTGGAGTAGGTTGCCATTTCCTACTCCAGGGGATCTTCCCTACTGAAGGATTGAACCTGGTTCTTTTGCATCTTCTGAATTTGCAGGTGGATTCTTTACCACTAGCGCCACCTGGGAATTAATCTTTCTTATAGCTTGTTTTTTATTTAAACCTTTCCTCTCGTCCCTAACCAATATTATACAGTTTACTTTTTTCTGTAATTCTAAATGCATTGGATCACTGGTGCTTTAAAAAGCTTGCAGCTTTAGAACATGAGCACTTTTTTTTTCCCGCAGTGTTAACCACCTTCCTTCTAACAAAGACCTGAATATTGGTCTCATGCATGAGCTTCTTACCTACAGAGAACATGGCTCATGTTTTCAGTTTGCTTGTTTCAAAGAAGAAAAGGGAAGAGTTTCAAATTAATTTTTGGTGTCCATGATGACTAGATACATCAGTGCCTGCTTACACTAATGCCAAGTGGGTAATATTGACAGTAGTGATTACAAACTTCTTTTGACATCTGCTTCCCCATGGTGGAAGAAAACTGTTTCTTGCAGTCTCTTTATCTTCCTCGCCACTGGATTCTACAACCTTGTGGTGATCCTTTTCATCCTACAAGTTCTATGTATCAAACTAAAGGCACCAAAATAAGGATTCAAAGAGAATTGCCTGTGATAATTGTGCAAATTATGGTTGCACATGTATGGCGGGGGAAGAAGAACCTGGACCTTGCTCCTGGCTGCTGAATGTTGTGAATAAATTTCAGAGAGGAAAAACAATTACTGTGAGTAATTTTCAGAAAAAGAAAAAAGCAAACGGCACCAGAAGATATATCATGCACAAAATGCTAAATAGATGTTTCAGCTCCCACTTCATTCAGTGTTGTTTCCAACTAAACTGGATTTAAGATTTTGTTGTTGGAAATTGAATTCTCTTATGTTTTGGGCTTGAGTATTTGAAACAAGAGTGTCTATACTACCTCCCCAGGTACATACTAACCTTCTTAACATGGCTCTGTTTCTTACTGCACGTATGGATTTTTGGCTCATGAGAATCATGAATGTAGAGATTTAAAGAAAAAAACTGCAGCAAAGATGGCACTCAATAAGATTCTCTGGGCATTGAGACTGTGTTTAGCATAATTGGACATGTGGCATCACTTATGCATTAGAGGGCATTTTCATTATTTATGCCTGCATGAACAAACATTGATGATGAATGAATTCAACCAAAAAGGCAAGGTTACAAAAATGTCATATGTAAATGAAAAAGAGCCACGACTTGTGAGGGTTGCTTCTCCAGTTATAAGTGTGTATCTGCATACACATACCTACAAACACATACATACATATAGTGAAATAATAAAGGAGATAAACATCTATAAAAATAGTGTCCCTTATAACTGATATTTAGCATCAAATTGTACTTAATAGGTCCAATTTTTATTTTATATTTTAAATAGGTTTGCAGTTTTTTTTTTTTCCAAGATAGCAGTCCTGGGAATATTCTGAATTCAGGAAAGAGTTTAGAGAGGTTATTGCCTTCTTAATAATTTAGAGCTTCTATTGCTCTGCCAAGTCAGAAGATTAACATTTAATAGAAAAAAATTATATATCTATAATTCAGTCACGGCTATTAGATCAGATGGATTTTACATTAAGTGAAAAAGATGTTGAGCATTTAAGGACCATTAAACTACAGGACTCTTTTATTGGGTTTTAAGGCCTCCAAGCCCGGGTCCTGCTGCGAAGAGTATTTATTTTACATATACAGAGCACATTAAGGATGAGAAAAGGGCATACATTTTAAAAGAAAATAGGCCATGAAAAAGTGTGGTTTTCCACATTGTGAGCAGCTACCATACAGATTCAGTCTTATTTTATAATAATTAGTTTTATGCATCATTAAGTAGCTCTCTCGCACACTGGAGGAGCATGGTGCGGGTCACTTTCAAAGTGGTACCTGCAGGGAATCCCAGTAGCTGGGTACGCTCTGTTGATATTTCACTTCGAGGAACCGTATTTCTAACAGTTTCAGGTAGCTCAGCGTTTTAAAGGATTTAAGTTTGAAAATGCATTCTCTGGTGGTCCTTAAGAACTGGGGGGGAGGGGGAGGAAACACCTAGAGAGAAATGACTTTTAATCAGTTTCTACTTTTCTCCACTGATGCCCACATTACCTACTAAAGGCTGGAATTCAACTCTTGAGAAAAACAACTCACCTATGGGAAGAGATTCTGTACCATCCAAAAGTGTACCATCCACCCCCCCTTTTCTAATTAATTAATTAATTAATTGGTTGCACTGGGTCTCAGTTATGGCACATAGGGTCTTTGTTGCGGCATGAGGGATCTTTAGTTGCAGCATGTGAACTCTTGCTTACAGCACGTGGAATCGATTTCCCTGACTAGGGATCAAACCCTGCATTGGGAGTGGGGAGTCTTAGCCACTGGACCACCAGGAAAGTCACTGCACTGGCCGTTTTGTTAAGTGCATGTAACACTTGACTTTGTTGCAGTTAAGACATGACAAGCAATATCTTAAATAATATAAACTCTTCTTAATATTTACATCATACCTCCTGTCCCATCCCCACCTCCAAACACTGAGGAAGAATTTTATGTAGGAGTGTAAACAAGAACAAATAGACTCAGGGAGGATGGAGGAAAGGAGTTCATATAATTTGTAACTTTTTTCCCTATAATGTCCAAACAAATTGTGTGATTTTCTTTCTTGCTATTCTGGGCTTTTTTTAATTGCCTCAGACTAAAGTGGCACCTTCTGGGCTGCTTCAGAAATTCTCTTTAGGATTTAAAAATGAAGCCGATTCATATTCAGAATATTCCTACTAAAATCTGTTAAGCCAAAATAAAAATGACGGCTACTTAAAAATTTTCCCTCTTTGTTGTTGCTATAAAGATTGTCTCAACGGAGTTGCGAGTTCCCATCAATGCACAATTAAAACCTCTTCCTTGAACAAATGGACAGGGATGAGCCATCACAGGACTGCCAGCACACATCCTGAGGATTGAAGTGTATACGCCTCCATCAAACAAAGACGGGCTGCTCTCTTGAGCTTGGAGGCTTATTTTGTAAAAGTGAATTGTTCCAGTTGGCCTTAATCCCTAAGCAGTATAGCTCCTTTAAAGCCATCTTTATTCATTCACACCAATTGACACTTTGAGAAATTCCCTCAGCTACTGTTCGTCTAAGTCTAAATATATCTGTTAGAGTCGAATGCGTTTAAGAGGATTTGCAGTCTGTGATTATCCAAAGTACTATTCATTGTCAATATTTTTGGTGTGCCATAGCCAATCTTGTTATTATAACGTACATAGCCACTTAACTGCAGCAAAGCCCGACTACATCACAGCAACGGGAGTAACCTGAGGAGGGCTTGTCTCTGCTCCATGCTACCATTCTGCCACAGCTTGTTGTGTGGTTACGAACATCAGGAAGAATTCCTTAATACGCTCCTGCTCTCCTTCCAGACCCTTTTGGGCGATATCACCCTCTGTGTTCTCTAAGCGGAGAGCAGTTACCAGGACAACAGAGAATCTGAGGAAGGTTTAATTGTGATCTGATGTCTAACCAGAATAGGGAGCTAGTGCGTTGAATTTACATTTTAGGTTCCCAAGCAAATGTCAATATGCATATTTATTACTTTTTGCCCTACCTCATTACAAAAAAAGAATTTTAAGGTGGCTTGCAATTTTTTTCTTAGTATGGGAGAGGGAAAGAGGAGCGGTAAATACTAAAAAGACAGGAAAAACAAGGAACAGCTCGGGATCTAGAAAACATTCCATGAACACTATTCTGCTTACATTTCTGGAACTGGCCTCAGTTTGACGGGACTTTCTAGCAGCCAGTGTACGGAAGTGGACATCACACATGTGAGATACCGTATCCGCTAGGTAGAGCAGTTGTTCCTGGTTCTGAAGCTGGCCAGCCTTTCCCCCAGGTGTCCAGCATGTCATTCCAAGCTGGAGTGAAAACTCCCTTCAGGGCACATGCAGTGGGATGAGCAGGGTGCATCTTCCTAAGTGCTTCCATCAGATCTCATGGTCAAAGTTTAAGCTATTTTGTAATAATTTTTAAATTTTGGAATAATTAGCCTATGATATGACTGAGTCTGAGTAATAATGCTCCACATTTCGGATCCATTTGGGTCCACGAGGAAGAATTTGTATTTTTCTTTCCCTTTATATTTTTATTGAACTACTGTTGATTTATAGTATTGTGTTAGTTTTAGGTAGATAGCATAGTGATTCTGTATTTTTCCAGATTATGTTCCCTTATAGATGATTTGTGTAAAGTCCCTGTGCTATACAGTAAATTTTTGTTGCTTACCTATTTTATACATAGTTTCTGTTAATCCCATACCGCTATTTGTTCCCCTCTTTGGTAACCACAAGGTTTCTATGTCTGTGAGTCTGTTTCTGTTTGTATATAGATTCATTTGTATACGGCTTCGCTAGTAGTTCAGTTGATAAAGAATCCGCCAGCAATGCAGGAGATCCTGATTTGATTTATGGGTCAGGAAGATCCGCTGGAGAAGGGATAGGCTCCCCACTCCAGCATTTTTGGGCTTCCCTGTGGCTTGGCTGCTAAAGAATCCACCTGCAATGCAGGAGACCTGGGTTTGATCCCTGGGTCAGGAAGATCCGCTGGAGAAGGGATAGGCTCCCCACTCCAGCATTCTTGGGCTTCCCTTGTGGCTTGGCTGCTAAAG